TGTAACTCTGATAGGTTTGCCTTTATATGTTACTTGACCTTTTTCCTTAGCTGCTCTTAATATTCTTTCTTTATTCTGTATATTTGGGGTCTTGATTACTGTGTGGCAAGGGGACTTTTTTGTTGTCCACTCTATTTGGTGTTCTGTAAGCTTCTTGTACTTTCATTGGCATGTCTTTCTTTAGGTTGGAAAAGTTTTCTTCTATAATTTTATTGAATATGTTTTCTGCCCCTTTGAGGTGGTTTTTCTTCACCTTCTTCTATACCTAGTATCCTTAGGTTTGGTCTTTTCATGGTGCCCCATATTTTCTGGATATTTTGTGTTAGGGATTTGTTGGACTTAAGGTTTTCTTTGGTTAATGAATCAGTTTCTCCTAGTATATCTTCAACACCTGAGATTCTCTCTTCCATCTCTTGTATTCTGTTATGCTTGTATCTGTAGTACCTGACTGCTTATCCAGCTTTTCCATTTCTAGCCTTCCTTCAGATTGTGTTTTCTTTATTGTGTCTATTTCAGTTTTCAACCCTTGCACTGTTTGAATTGTTTTTTGCAGTTTTTGCTTTGGCTTTTCATCCATTTTTTGGTTTGTTTTTTCTTCCATTTCTTGCATTTTTGGTTTGTTTGTTCTTCCATTTCTTTGAGGGGTTTTCCTATATCCTCTTTTAGGGCCTCTGTCATTTTCATGAAGTTATTTTTAAGGTCATTCTCTTCTGCTTCATTTGAATTGGAATGTTGGAGTCTTGCTGGTATGGTGTCTCTAGAATCTGGCGGTGTCATATTTGTTTTTCTGTTGCTGAGTGTGTTTTTGTATTGTCTCTTTCCCATCTATTCTTCTAGTGGGTGCAGAAAGAGTCCCTTACTGGTCTGGTGGTTAGGGGACCAGAGTCCCTTTTGGTGGGTGCAAGAAAGTCCAATACTCTGGTAGTTCTCCTCTTCCTGGTCCTAGTCCTGGTCCCGTGGGTGGAGAAGAAGCCCAGGAATCTGGGGTGCATAGTCTCCCTCCTGGTCCCCTGGTGGAAGAGAAGACCTGGGATCTGGGGTGTGTGGCTCCTGCTGGGATGGGAAACTCTGTGGCAGTCCCCAGGCAATCTCCAAGCACTGGAAGGAAGGCCCAGATACAGGGCCTGGTTTATCCGCTGGTCCTGCTGGTCCCCTGGTCCCTTGGTGGAAGAGAAGACCTGGGATCTGGGGTGCTTGGCTCCCGCTGGGATGGGAGGCTCTGTGGCAGTCCCCAGGCAATCCCCAGGCCAACAACAATGTTTTTAAAAATATGTCATGAATCAGACAGAGAGAGAAAGGGATACATGGAAGGAAAGGGAAAGGGGCAAATAATTATATATATACATATATATATGTATGTATACATACACACATATATACATATACACATACACACACAGATATATATACATACATACATATATATATATATATATTGAGAAGGCACAACATGGAGGCATCTGGAGTCCCAATGAAATGCTGATGGCCTTTGGGATCAATAACCATTTGACCCCTGAGTCTGTCTTCCTGAATGGGTCTCACTCTCAGCCTTGGCTACCCCCTGCCCTCAGCCATCTGCAATAATATTGAAGTCCAGCCTTGTGAAATTCCAAAGGCCAGGACACGCACTTGATTTAACAGTGTGACACCAACCAAGGAAAACCGGGCTATAAAACAAAGGCAGATACATCTGCTGTACCTGTAGGGAGAGACAAGAATGAATGGACGAAACCAGGAAACCAGAGGCCAGGCCAACCCCCCCGCCCCCCCTTTTTGGGGATAAAATTGGCCAGATGCTTGTAAACTTCAGGTGCAGCTGCCCTCCTACCTGGAGTCCAATAGACTAATCAGACTTAACACCTGAAACCTGCCCTATGTCATGGTTTCCGTATTAATTTTCAGTAAAATCTGTGAATAGACAAGTGACTCCCACTTTTTATTTCATAGGTGAGAAACAGAGATGCAGGGACAGTTAAGAAGTTGCCCTAAGGCTGCTAAGCTGGGGAAGAGTGGGGGAGGGTTTAAACTAGTCCTGGCACTCCAGAGAGAAACATCCCCAACCACTGCTCCCACTTCAGATAGCATGTGTCAAAAGAAAAGGCAAAAATTAAAGAGAAGAAGAATCAGAAAGAAAGGAGACTGGGCAGGTATAAAAATATTTTTAAGAAAAACTCATTAATATTTGTAATTCAAGTGCATGGGGTTTAAAGACGATGGTCTTTTTTATGAACACCAACTGTTTTGTGCTCTCTTCTGAGATGGGTGGTCAGCTGCGGCATAGCAAGAGAAAAATGATTGTTAATTGGGGAATATGGGCCAGTGGGTAGAGTGTTTGCTGGGCATGAATGAAGCCGCAGATTCTATCCCTCAAACCAAATAAACTTCATGGTGGATGCAAGGTAGCCAGAAGTACAAGGACATCCTGAGATACATAGTAAACTTGTGACCAACCTGGGCTAAATGTGACCATATTTCAACATATTTCATAGAAAGGAAAAGAGGGAGACAGGCAGACAGACAGATGGGTAAGATAGTTGATTCATAGATGGAGATAGATAGATAGATAGATAGATAGATAGACAGACAGACAGACAGACAGACAGACAGACAGACAGACAGAGGCTCAGGGAGAGCAAACTAAGCTAAACCTCTTGGATGTAGGGGCAGAAGTCACACTGCCTACAGCACTTGACATTGCCACAGAGGGAAGCAAGATGCCTGTCTCAATAAAAGAAAAACACATTAGGGAAACTGAGGCTTCAAGTTGGTTTGTTTGCACTTGAAGGGCTTCTATCTGAGTCCTTTGTCTCCAAGAATTGGCCAGCCCCAGGGGCCCTCCTCTCTTGTAACCAAGCCAGGATCCTTGAAGATGTCAAGCGACCACAATACACAGAATAATGTTTGTAAAGGTATTTCAAAGATGGGAGCATTAAAAAGAAAACCAAGAGAGCAAATGGGGAGATGGGTCAGTAAAGTGCTTGTCACACACAGTGGGGGACCCATGTTCAGATCCCCAGCACCCACAGAAACAGTAGATGTGATGGTGTGTAGAAAACCCAGTGCTGAGTGCAAAGACAGGAGGATCTGTGGCTGTCCAGTCTAGCTGCATCAATGAGCTCCAGCTTTGGTGGGACCCTGTCTCAGAAACATAATTTGGAGACTGGAGAGGTGGCTCAGTGGTTAAAGCGCCAGCTGCTCTCACAGAGGACTGGAATTTTGTTCCAGGCACCCACACAACAACTCACAACCATCTATAACCCAATTCTAGGCTATCTGACGCTCTCTTCTGGCCTCCCTGGGTACTGCATGTATGCGGCACTCAGACTTTATGTATGCAAAACACTCAAACATAATCTCATTGACTTCTCTAGCAGAGAACACATTCCCACTCTTCCCACTGACATATGCTAAGTGCTGGCCTCATCCCTAGCACAGAGTGATATGCCGAAGGGATAACAGAGATGATGTGTGAGGCTCCTAAGAGGAGAAAGATGAACAGACCCGTGGGAAACTGGCATTTCGTGGAAACCTGAACAGGGTGATTGTAGATGGAAGTTTCTGTCCTACCTGGTCCCACAGCCTTTTAGTCCCAAATAAACATACAGGCGCTTATACTAATTATAAACCATTTAGCCAGTGGCTCGGGCTTCTTATTGGCTAGCTCTCTCTTCATTATTAGCCCATTTCTATTAATCTCTGTATCTCCATGTAGTCTTGGCTTACCAGCGAACCTATGTCTCTTGCTTCCTCGGCAGCTACATGGAATCTGGCTGGGGACTCTTTGCCTTTCCTCTTCCCAGAATTCTCCTAGTCTGGTAGGTAGTCCTGCCTATACTTCCTGCCTGGCTACTGGCCAATCAGTATTTTATGAAACCAATATGAGTGGCAAATCTTTACAGTGAACAAGAACATTATCCCAACATCAGGTGATAAAGCAAGACAGTGACTGAAGGCCTCTCCTTTCTCTTCAGCTCTCTCCGAACACATCCTTCATAATCCTTCATGATCCTCACTGTCTCAAAACACTAAAAACAAAACACAAAGATGGCAGCTGCTGCTTACCATCTACCAACTCATGGGAAAAACCCACTACCTGGCCCTTTCCCCATTTCCAGACATCCAAAGGTTGCCTGCAGTCTCTGGCTTATGGCCACTTCTCTCTCTCTCGAAAGGCACATCACCCCAGGACTTCCTGCGTTCTCCTGTCTGCCTGTCTCCAGCATCCGTTATCCCTCCAGTCAACACAGTTTGACAATTTTCCCTTTCCACTTTAAGACAGGTTGTGGTTGGTCAACCTTTACTACAATAAGAAGAAATGACAAACAAAGAAATAAGATGCTTCAGGCTGTGGAAACAGATCATTGCAGCTGGGTGGGGTCTGGGAAGAAGATAATCATGAAAGCGCTGTTGAGCTGAGTGATGTATACAGTGGATAACATAAGCTAGGATGTGGGGCTGGAGAAGTGTATGCTGGCCAGAGTTTACACCCCTGGGTCACTCAGGCAATCCTGTTCCCACCTATCCTTCCAGGGCCAGCACTGATGGTGCCCTGGCCTCCTCCAAGATCTATCCTGCTGTGGATACTTAATTACACAAGTGCCCTTTGTGTGGGGTAGCCCAAAGTACCAAATTTCCCAATCCTCCTGCCTTAGTTAGGGTTCCTATTGCTGCAACAAAACACCATGATGGTTTTGCAAGTTAGGAAGGAATAGGTTTATTTGGCTTAGACTTCATCATCAAATGACATCAGGACAGGAACTCAGACAGGGCAGGAACCTGGAGGCAGGAACTGATGCAGAGGCCATGGAGGATGCTGCTTACTGGCTTGTTCCTGTGGCTTGCTCAACCCGCCTTCTTGTAGAAGGCAGGACCACCAGCCCTGGGGTGGACCCACCCATAATGTGATTGGCCCTCCCCCATCAATCACTAATTAAGAAAATGCCTTACAGCTGGATCTTATGGAGGCATTTCCTCAATTAAGGTTCCCTCCTCTCAGATGACTCTAGTTTGTGTGCCAGGTTAGCAGAAAACTAGCCAGCACAGCTTCCACACCCCTCTTTCCTTAGGCATTTTGTCACCTCAATGCCAAGAAAAAGTACCCAGTCTACACAGCATGCACTCCCCAGCAACTCAGGGCTTGCATGCCAATGGCTCTGGTCCCAAACTCCTCAGATGTTGATTTTTTTCTCAATATCCACCCAAGAAGACAAAGGCCAGAGAGTCATCTTCAAGGTGAGTCAGGAGTGAACACAGTGCAGCCGAAAGGGAATCCATCTTTCTGTAATCGGCAGCACGGGGAGATGGATGGAGCACATGACTCTGCCGTTAGCCCTGCCCCCCTGGGGGAAGACAGCGGCTTCTGCAGACTAATGAGTGCCTGTCAATAACTGCCACAGATCTTTAAGGATTCAGTTTAAGGGCGCATGTCAGGATGGGCTACTTAGCATTCCGAGAGAGGCATCCATCCGCTCCAGACATTTCGGGAAAACGGGGAAATCTTTTCTTACAAATTCTTAATGATTGCAGACATCTCAGAAACAGGCTCAGGGGAGAGAAGGAGGTGGGTGGAAGGAGGCTGGGGCCCTTGATCACGCCTGTTCCTGGATGCTATGATCAGAGCTGGGAGAGTGCCTTGTACCCTAAAAATAGAGGCCTGTTCCCTCTCTGCCTCCCTTCACCCCTCCTCCCTTCCCCCTTCCTGCCCTTCTCCCTCCCTCCCTCCCCGCCCCTCCTCCCTCTCTCTCTCTCTCTCTCTCTCTCTCTCTCTCTCTCTCTCTCTCACACACACACACACATACACACACACACACACACACACACACACACACACCTGGCAATGCCTGTGATTTATGTCATTCCATGTTTATTTTTTTCTTCTGCACGAGGTATCTGCAGGACCAATGTATTGAAAATAGTTCCCAACCAAGGGAAGGAATTTGTCCTGCTAATTAGTGTCAACTGAATAATTATAGAAAGTTTATTCCAAATGCAAAATGCTCCTGATAATTTAGAAATGCTTGCAAGTGCCCAACTACCTCCCAGAGGTACTCTTCCTGCCTCCAACCCCTTCCTGTAATGGCTGCCTCTGAATGATAGTTATTCAGTGAGGGTGGTCATGTGATCCTCAGGAGCAGGCAGGAGCAAAAGTGAGACTCTGCCTCCCAGGATTCTGGGGATTGAACTCAGGCCCTTCCACTTGTGTAAAACACTCCATTGACTGAGCCATCTTCCCAGTTCTTGCTTCATTTTTTTTTCCAGTGGTAAGAGTGACTTCCCTGACCTGCACTGCTCTGTCAGGAGAGAGCTGGGGGTGGGCATTCAACTCTGGCTCCAGCTACACGGATACATTAGTCAGGCTCCCCTAGAGGAAAAGAACACTGGTAGAATGAACACACACACACATATATATAATGAACTATGGAACTATATATATACATATACAAACATATATGTGTGTGTGTGTTCATCCTAATAATTCCCATATATGTGAAATTTTTAGAATGGCTTTCAGGCTGTGGTCCAGCTAGTCCAACAATGGCTGTCTGTCAATGAAAGGTCCAAGAATCCAGTAACGGTTCAGCCCACAAGGCTGGGGGTCTCAGCTGATCTTCGGGATATGCTGGAAACCCTGGAGAAGCAGCTCAAATGCCAGTGAAGGAGTGGACTTGCCAGTGAGAGTGAGAGCCAGCAGGCAAGGACAGCTAGTTCCCTTCGCCCGCGTCCCTCATACAGGCTGCCAGTGGAAGGCAAGGCTCACATTAAAGGCGGATCTTCACACCTCAAAAGATCAAGATTAGAAATGGGTGTCCTCACTTCAAATGATTTAACTTAGAAAAAAAAGCTCCTCGAAGATGTGCCCAGCTTTTTACTTCATTCCAGATGTAGTCAAGTTGACAACCAAGAACAGCCATCCTAGCTGGTAAATTGGAGAACAAGGGTGCATCTTTGGCATTTAGCCAACAACCCAGATTTAAATTTCTTTCAACCATAGCCACCTCAGTGCAGAGACAAACAGGAGAGTTTGCCAGCCTTGACTGGGGACCCATACTCAAGTGAGAATTCCTTTTCTAAAAGCTATGTATTACTCTACTTAGAGTCAAGAGATGATTTGTTTTGGGTGCATGCATGCGTGTGGTTGAGACTGGTTATTTTTCCTCTATATGTTTTTATTGGTTTTTACTGAAATATTGATTTGACTGCCTTACAGTGGCTACCTGGGTGGGAATTCAAGCAAATGCATGAGACTCTTTACTGTTATTGTTATTTTTTGATTGGTTTACCCTGTGTGAAGCCTAGAAAAACTCATTTCAACTTCATTTATTTCATATCACAGCCTCCTGTTTAGCCACCAATATTCTCTGCGTTAGGGAAGCTTGCTTCAACAATAAAATACATGCGGTACAAGCAGCCTTTTCCCTATACCCTGCATGATATTTCTCTGCCATGTGCCAGGGCTTGCCTGTTAGCACATTTCTTTTAGCTGTATAATTTTAAAATTTATTTGTAGGTCTGAACAGCTATTACTGTATATGAAGAACTATTTCCATCTACATTCCAATAAAGAACATTTGATTTATGGAACTTAAAAGTCTCACTTTAAAATCACTTCCAATGGGCACCTGATGGACGGTGGTCAGATTACCTAATTTTGTAGTGAAATAAATTCACTTTGTTTTCAAGGATACCTTACAGCTTAACAAATGAGTATTTCAGTCTTGATCGGCAAAAGATACTGAGCGGAAGAAATCCTAGGTGCATTTGCAGAAGAAAGCCCTTTTTGTAAAATATATTTAATCCTCAGACAACCTTCAGGGAGTTTACAGGAGCTGTGTCCTCAGCTGTCATCTGGGAACACACACACACACACACACACACACACACACACACACACACACACAGAGTTCAATTCTCACCTCACCGGGGACACTTTATTCAGTAGTCAAATGTTAGCAACCATGGCCAAAACACATCCAGGTTTCCCCCCAAATCCCACTTTCTAATGTGGAAGAACTTTCCATACCAAAAACAAAAAAACAAAGAAAACCATAAATCAGGAGTTTTTAATACATTGGTGGAAACATAGGCAGGCCGGCTAAAGCCAAATGGGGACAGCTCAGCTCTAGATTGTCTGGTGCCTGATGTCATTTCTAGCCTTTTGGTTGGTGGAAACTTTCTGAAAAGGTTTCTCTCTTAGTAACAGGATATCAGTTCACACGTAGAGGTGCCCAAGGAATGGCTATTTCAGGAGCTAAGAATAGCCCAGAATAAATAGTAATTAGATTCTGGACCTGCATCCTTCCAAACTCTCCACATCACCGAAATTCTTCTAATCAGTTCATCAGAAGTCTCGATGGAAGGTGCAGTTTCCTTCTGGAAACTTCCGGTCACGGGACTATACTGGGAACGTGCCCTATTTGCCCTGGATGATAGTCTAGACCCAGCACCTGGGCTACAACGTAGGGTGTGCTCAACCCTACTTTTGTCCCGGAATGTTGGTGCACAGCAGGCAGACAACCTCATTCTGAGGATGCCCTTCAACACAATTTTATTTTGTGTGTGCATCTGTGCACCAAGTGCATGCAGTACCGGCAAAAGCCAGAAGGCGGCAGCAGAGTTCCTAGAACCGTCACCCCCCACCATGGACTGGCAACTTCACTGCAAAAAAAGTGTCCCAGGCACAAGTATGGGTTCTGAGGGTTTGACTTGAAAACTCAATATACACACACAGGCCTTTTGGACTGAAAGCCTTTCTCATCAGAGTAGCGGGTCTGACCTCTCGAAACACTGGCATGTCTCAGATGAAGCCCTCATCTCCCTCAGTGTCAATAACAATTTACAAAACAGTTGTGGGTGGGAGCTTGGAATTCCACACAGGGATCTGGGACTCAGAGCTTTAGGAGTCAACTGTCACAGGCCCTTCTACACCCCACCTGGGGATCACAGTAGACTCTTTACAAAGTGAGATATATATTCATAAACTGGAATCATGGAAAATCAGAGGAGGCCATCCTGTGTAAGCTCTTTGCTGTAAAGATAGAGAAAATGGAGGCTGGAAAGACACAACTCCCTTGGGATCCTAGTAACAGTAGAATCCAGACCCACAAATTCAACTCATAGCTTTTCCACCAGTGGGATGGACTTTAGGATCCATGTGGGATGTGGGGAAAACATTGATGGATATAGGATTTGCATAGGAAAGACCCTGAAGACATGGGAGAAATAGTTGAGTCAAAACTGGGAGAGGATGAAGGAGAGCCTTACCCAGACACTGATGAAGACCCCGTTGAAGCATTTGTTGGAGCTAAAAGAAAAGAGGTCCTAAGGGAGACTTGCATTTACATCCGACCTCATTCAAAACACAAAGCCCATTTTAGGGGCTAGAAGGATGGCTCAGTGGTTAAAAGCACTGACTATGTTTGCAGAGGACCTGGGTTTGACCCTCAGCACCCACATGGCACCTCACAACCTCCTATAGCTCTAGCTTCAGGGGATCTGACACCCGCTTCTGGCCTCTCTGAGCATTGCACTCACATGCACATGCCCACACAGGTACACACACACACACACACACACACACAAAACAATAAGGACAAATCTTTTTTTAAATAAGTGTAGCTTATACTCCTGATAAACCATGTGAACTATATTTGGATGTCATATCACCATCCCTTTCCCATTTACATGTACTATTTTGTCAAAAATGTTATCTCTCCTTCTCTAACTGTCCAACCAAATCTGAACTGTGACCCTAACTAGCTCATGCTTTTTCAGCTCACCCTTCATAATCCCACAAAAGTTAAGTGTAACAAGAAAGCTTTGGGCTAGATATTCAGAGTTCACGAACTATAAACCAGCCAGGAGGGCATGCAATGGAAGATGTGACATTTAAAGAATGAGAAGAATCCTTTTTGAAATGGTCGGCTGACACAAAATGTGCTAATTCGTGAAGTTCAACCCAGGAGTACTTTCAGAAATACATAGAGCTAAAGTGTGATTTTTTTTCTCATCATGCTGCAGAGGACTCAACCCAGCCAAAAAATACCCAAGACCCCAGAGCAACCATCCTTGGACGCTGGGTGCTGAGCACTTTCTAGAAGGCGTTGACACCAATATAGAAAGGTTATTCCAATGCGTTGAGAAGGTCCCAGTTGATAGACTTCCTTAAGCAAGAGCAGACTGAGGAGGACAGTGGTAGCATCAATCCTAGCCTTACACTTAGAAGAAACATGTTACTTGCACTTTCAAGCAAGAAGGCTGCCCAGAATTCCCCCTGCTGATTTCATTATTAGAGTATCTGCCTCATTGATCATGGTTGAAGGACCACAGGCCCCTGGGGACACACAGAGGCAATTTCCAATGATTCTGTTAAAACTCCCTCTTCCTTTAAAATCTATGGGGGGAAAAAGCAGCTTTGTAGCGTTGTATCCTTTGTATCAAGGCATCTATCTGCCAGTCATCCTCCTTGGGGTCTGTTTGCTGAAAGCCTCAAGTTGTTGAGCAGAGCAGCAAATGTGGGGTTTCAGAAACCAGCAACAGGGATGCACTGTGGGAAGACACCTCCCTCCATGGAAAACATCAAAATCCCAAAGCGCCCACAGCCTTCTCCACACACGGTGACAGAACTGCGCAAAATGAGTGCTCACAAATGCTCCCATTAGGCTTCCTGAAAGACTCTATGGGCGGCGTTGGGAGGGGTCTGCTGTTGTTTGAGCACACGAGTCCTATCCGGTCTAGAACAAACGAGAAATACAACTTTGGACACCTCCTGCAAATACCAGTTGTCCGCATGAGTAGGCCAGAGAACAAATAGAAGTGTGTGTTCCGGAGCCCCACAACTGACAGAGGTGGACTGAATGACGGTGTGGCTGTGACCACGCTTTTAAATAGTCTGTCCAAACCAGACTGTTGTTTCTCTCCTCCAGATGACTCTTACAACCCTTCAGGGAGATGACCCCATCTGTCTCCCACTCAAGAGAAAGCCAGGAGAGTTCAAGCCACGGTGGTATGGCTTTTCCCTTGTCCATGAGTGAGCATGTGACCCGTCCTGGCCAATGAGAGAAAATGAGCTCCAAGGCCCCCTAGGGGAAATCGCCTTGAGTTAGGTGGAGAGCCCTGACTGGGTTTACAGGGTTCCTAGGAGAATATGCAGCCATCCTGTGTGTGGGGCAAAGATTGACATTAACAAAAAGATGGAAAATGTGCCCTGAGCTCTGAGGTACCTTTGGGATCTTTGCCGCTGAGACTTTCCGTGAGTGACTCTGCACTTTTCTTTTTACTTAAATTGGTTGTGTGAGTTTACTGTTATCTGAAACCAAACGGATCTTCATGTAAATTTTATGTTGTCTTTAATCATGAACTCTAGGACGGCGGCTGGAGAAGCCTCTTAATTATTTTATGTTTATCTTATGTGCATGTATGTCTTGCGCATCACATTCATGCAATCCCAATGGAGGCCAGAAGAGGGCGACAGATATCCTCGGATTGGAATTACAGGAGTTTGTGAGCCACCATATGGTATGGGTGCTGGGACTTGTATCCCAGGTCTTTGGCAAGAGCAGTCGGTCCTCTTATTGGCTCAGCCATTTCCATAACTCCTAGTTGATCTTATGGCTGTGACCAAACACTGTAAAGGAGCAACTTAAAGGAGGAAGACTGTATCCTGCCTGCTAGTTGAGAGTGTCCGTTATGGTGTATGACCTGCCTGATTGGGCAAGTCAGTGGAAGGAGTTGAATATACTTGGTTCCCGCTGGGTGGGTCAGGAAGCAGAGACAGGACCTGAAAACAGGGATGGAACCTTCAAGCCCTACCTCGCAATGGGATCTGCTTCCTCCAGCAAGTCCCTGTTTCCCAAAGGTTCCAAAATGCCAACAGCTGGTCACTCAACTGTATGAGCTGCTAAGGGACATTTCACAGCCAAACCAGCAGTATTTCCTACACCTGGAATTCAGACCTCTGACCAGGTGTTTTAAGATGCTAAATTTGGGGTGATTTGAGATAATGTATTAGGAAACTAATCCATCGTGTCCAACGTTCATCGACTACTGGGACCATGAGACCCTGACACATTTGAGACTCTGGATCTAATCTGTAAAATGGGAATGAATGCAGCAAACCACAGGCTCACT